CATTTTATAGACTAAAAACTTGTTTACTTCATACACACACACACACACACACACACACACACACAGTTCTTTATATCTACCGGCGTTCAAGCAGCACAGCCCGCCAATCAAGATTTGCAAACTTTTATCGCTCGTGTCGAACGTCTGGTGCTCGATACCACCGATCGCGCGCTGATTATCACCCGAAATGTTTATCTGCACATCAGCAAGGAGATGCCGCCAACGCTGCTGCAAGCTGCCAACGAAACTCTGCAAACCTATATTTGGCAGGTGAATGAAGCATTGAGTGGCGGCGGCACGTCAAATACCAACTTCACCACCAAACGCAAATTGCTGCGACAATTCAAGTTGAACAATCTACAAATTGAAATGCTGCGCCGCCAATTGACTCCGCTGCAACCGGAATTCAAGTTTCAACTGATTTCCGATGAGTTTTCCATTTCCCAAAAGAATGTTACCGAATTTGATAATTTGTATTTGCGGTTCATGAGCGAATTTGCGGCTGCTTCCCAACAGTTGTGGGATACACTGTCCGAGCCTACTGTGGAGGAGCAGCAGGAGCTGCTGGAATTGCTGGATGAGATTTCAAAAGAGCAGCAGCTACACGAGAAGGATAAATTATATGATGAATTTATTGCCATGTTTCTATTTAAAATCGAAGAGAATGAACTGGAGGCTAAGGAGTTGTACTGAAGTTCAATAAACCAACTTAAACAATTTGCAATTCTTTTAAATTTCTGAAATGACAAGGGAAAAGAGGTTTTATTTCGCTACTAAATATGAATATGGAGTAATTTGGGTTTTCTTTAAAAGCCGTTTTTTTTGTTGTCGCGTTGAGGAAAACAAGGAATTGCCAAATTGGTTTTTGAAAGTTCCTTCTTTTTAAGTGTAGATAACAGAAAACGGTCAACCAAATGACTAATCGTCTAGCGCCCCATAAGGGTTCCGGTGAGAAGTCAAACGTTTTGTTTTTAAAGCCTCAAAAAAGTCTATATCGTCACTACACACGAATGAAGGCGCACTAGTGTTTTGAAGACGAAAAAAGACGCCTAAGGAAAACTTCGGCGAAGAAAGAAGCGTAAACATGGATTTATATCTGGCCAAGGACTGTCACTTCAGCATCATTCCCTAAAACCTATTTGGGGAATTTAGGTACTGTTACACCCGCAAACATAGTCGACCGCGAAAATAAGTTTACGGGTCTTACTTCGCCGTCAAATATTTTAATGCGTCCTTCTACGGCGTCAACTATGTTAAGAGTCTTTATTCGTGTCTTGGTAGCTGCTCTAGTCGTCTCTCCAACTTGATTTGACCCGCCTTCCTTAAACCCGTCTCAAATCTGTTTTTTACACTCGCCTGCTTCCTCATTGACTGGAATATCATGGAACTCACTAGAGATTGGAAAGATTTGGTGTCAAGCGCCTCCCACCACATCAAAGCTCATAGGTGAGAAGAGGTCGGACGACTAATGTGTATGCTCTATGGATTATTTATGGTGGTAGCCTTCAAAACAGTGCTAGATCCTTTCCAAGAAAAGTCTATAGGTGAGAATAAACTCGAAAAATGTCGCCTCCTTTGGCAATTTAAATTGAGCTATAAAGCTCGAAAGGGGTCTATTTTACTTCGCATCCGCAGCCGGTTTCCTTAATTGAGCGATTGCCGAAGCGTCATTGGCTGTGCTCCTACTCCAACACATTGTTGATTCAGAAAGTAACCAACGGATCTAATCTTACAGCAATTACGGGGAAGCGGATAGTTTGCAAACTCGCAACTCGCTCAGCGCGCCTCCCACATCCATAAATTGTTAACCCCAAGCAAAATATCAAATTGTGTGATGACTACGTTCACATTTTGTTCAAATATTTACAAATAATGCCTGATAATCATCTGAGCAACGTAAACTATGGCTCTGTGTGTGTAAATTGAAACTTTTAAATCAGCTTCGTTTAATTTTTTATGCGTTGTTTATTTGTCTTCCGGTGAATATATATATATATATATATATATTTCCCTTTTGTTTGTGGCGCTCACATAGTATGTATGTATTTTCATTTTAAGTAAACATTCATAGATCAATGTCTTATTTATGCTTTGTGGCGAATATCAGTTTGTATAGGCAAACATTTACTTCAATATTTTTATGCAACACATTCTTGTTGCGGTTTTATTCTCACTTTTCAACAGAGGCAACAAAACGGCAGATTAATGAAAAAATAGGCATAAAAAATACAAATATAAATATGTACATATGTAAGTATGTATGTGTGTTAGGACGGGTCGTGTAATTCTAAGCAAATTTTCTTAAGAAACCATTGGTCGAAAATCAATTTGGAGTTTGTCAAATTGCCAAAATAGGTTTCGAAGATGCGAAGAAATGTGAAAATTGTCACTGTTGCGGCCTCTGTGGAAATCTTAAAAAAAGATAAGTGGGAAAATGGATTCCTCATACCAAAAACCTCCAAATTGATTTTAGACCCTTGGATTCTTCGGTAAATTTGCTTATAATTACACGGAGAATCCTTCTGTGCTGTACGCACTTA